CTTGAAAGCAGCTTGATGGCGTGCAATGATGCTCGCTTGGGGTGGCTGGCGGTGGCTCGGGGGGGCAAGCTTGAGTCAGCTGTTCTCATGATGCTCGCTTGGGTGGCCCGTGCTCGGGCAAAGCTTGAGCAGCTGATGCTCATGATGCTCGCTTGGGTGGCCCGTGCTCGGGCAAAGCCTGAGCAGCTGATGCTCATGATGCTCGCTTGGGTGGCCCGTGCTCGGGCAAAGCTTGAGCAGCTGATGCTCATGATGCTCGCTCGGGTGGCCCGTGCTCGGGCAAGCTTGAGCAGCTGATGCTCATGATGCTTGGGTGGCCCGTGCTCGGGCAAAGCTTGATGCTCATGATGCTCGCTTGGGTGGCCCGTGCTCGGGCAAAGCTTGAGCAGCTGATGCTCATGATGCTCGCTTGGGTGGCCCGTGCTCGGGCAAAGCCTGAGCAGCTGATGCTCATGATGCTCGCTTGGGTGGCCAAAAGCTTGAGCAGCTGATGCTCATGATGCTCGCTTGGGTGGCCCGTGCTCGGGCAAAGCTTGAGCAGCTGATGCTCAATGTGCTCGCTTGGGTGGCCCGTGCTCGGGCAAAGCTTGAGCAGCTGATGCTCATGATGCTCGCTTGGGTGGCACGTGCTCGGGCAACGCTTGAGCAACTGATGCTCATGATGCTCGCTTGGGTGGCCCGTGCTCGGGCAAAGCTTGAGCAGCTGATGCTCATGATGCTCGCTTGGGTGGCCCGTGCTCGGGCAAAGCTTGAGCAGCTAATGTCATGGTGCTCGCTTGGGTGGCCCGTGCTCGCTCGCTTGGGTGGCCCGCGCTCGGGCAAAGCTTGAGCAGCTGATGCTCATGATGCTCGCTTGGGTGGCCCGTGCTCGGGCAAGCTTGAGCAGCTGATGCTCGTGATGCTTGGGTGGCCCGTGCTCGGGCAAAGCTTGATGCTCATGATGCTCGCTTGGGTGGCCCGTGCTCAGGCAACGCTTGAGCAACTGATGCTCATGATGCTCGCTTGGGTGGCCCGTGCTCGGGCAGAGCTTGAGCAGCTGATGCTCATGATGCTCGCTTGGGTGGCCCGTGCTCGGGCAAAGCTTGAGCAGCTAATGTCATGGTGCTCGCTTGGGTGGCCCGTGCTCGCTCGCTTGGGTGGCCCGCGCTCGGGCAAAGCTTGAGCAGCTGATGCTCATGATGCTCGCTTGGGTGGCCCGTGCTCGGGCAAGCTTGAGCAGCTGATGCTCATGATGCTTGGGTGGCCCGTGCTCGGGCAAAGCTTGATGCTCATGATGCTCGCTTGGGTGGCCCGTGCTCGGGCAAATCTTGAACGCATACACCTTCTCTGATTGCTGTGCGTCTATTGCTTTTGTGCTCATTGAACCAGGCAGAAGCAGAAACACACACGCTTCCATGGGAAAACGCATTAAGATACCCATTTTTTGTAGCTGTAGAGTAACATCACGATCTCTCAATAAGAAACACACGAATATTCCTCACGACGCGCATGAAATTTTACATATCTTCAGAAATGTCCGAAAGTTCATCAATCAAGTAGGCATTTGTATGTTTCCGACGCCCGATGCATGTAGAATGTGTGTATATATATATATATATACATATGTATATAGTTATTCTTCATTGCTGACATGATCTGCTATTAACGTTTTACGCTGAGATTTGAACCACACGAAGAACACGTACAAGTAAACGAACCAACAGATGAAAAGGCACATCTGTAGTGCTGCCTCCAGAATCTGTCCAGGAGGTCGCGGATCTGCTACCATCAGGCCCTGAGTGTCCCAAGCTCCAAGTGTTTTTTGAGGGAGATGGTGCATCAGGACCTGCGCAGGGGCTCGTCTTCAACTTCAAGACTTCAAGCCGTGCTGGTTGGAAGACTCTCTGACCTTGCCTCACATTCCTATCAACTTGCAACCCTCAATTTTTTTGGCCTTGCTGGTCAAGAAGCATCCTCCGAGGCGCTCTTCAGTGACCGGAGGTAGATTACGAGGAGCCGCGCCTCCTGAACAAGCACAGCGGATCCGACTTCCGCGAGACATCCCCATAACATCATGAAAAGAAGGAGGCTCAACGGTGAATGAATGTCCTCTGAACTGAAGATCTTGGCGAACTGTGTTCGCCTTGTCTCAAGCTCATGGCTACCTAAAGGATTGAAAGCCTTCCTGGACCACGGGCCTGTGCTCTTCCCGAACCGCAAATGAATGTCGCGACTGCAGAGAACGAACTGGCTGATATAGGCACATCGCTGAAACCATCATCTTGAAGCAAGGTGCCGATCTATGAGGAGAAAGTTGGATGTCGCTGCCCCCGGGCACTGTCCCTGTGAGGCTCGCAGTTTGGAGTTGGATTGAGCCAGTCGACTAGAACAAACACGGCACAATCGAGTCAACAAAGAAACGGAACCATGTTGACGGAACTCTCAAAGCAAGACTCTCATGGCTTGGGAGTGAAAGATGCTACTTGTCCTATTGCTTCCAATCGCCTGTAGGAACATGTACAGTAGGAACGGGTTCTTCGGCCTTGTTAGGAGAACAGCGCCATGTTCAACAAGGACATATGATGAGGGCATGTAGGAAAAGCAGAACTCAGGTTCCCTCCCCGAAGTTCCCGAAGCCTGGCCACCCAAAGCCAGCGCTGCGGCACGGCTCCTCAGCGCCTAGCTGGCAAGGCGGGTTTCGGGACAGTTTGGAGGTTCGCGAGGTTTCAGGACTTCGAAGAGCTTGTTGTTGTGCGCGCAGCTTTTTTTGTTTTATTGTTTGCTGGAATCTACCATGATGAGAGATGTGAGTTCTATTTGGCCAAGAAGTGGCCTCACGGCAAAAGCCAGATTCACAATCCCACATGGCTCTATGTTCCAGAATTCGCCTCGGCTTTCGGCCGAGAGGCACCCACAACAAGCCGACCAAGATCTGGTCTCCTTCTCCCCTTCCCACTCAGAAACTCAGAAATTTGCTGTACGGCCCTGGGTTTAGGGTTTAGGGTTTAAAGTTTAGGGTTTAGGGCAACCTGCCCGAACCACTTCAGGAGCCACAATCCAAATACCTTGACCCCTGGAACGAACCTTGGGACCGGCCACCCCCCCCCCCCCCCCTGCCCTGGGATCGTTGAGGACCCCGGCACCCTGAAACCCCTCTCGTGAAGTGCGTGACGGCGTGGTGCTGCGCCAAGTGACATAACACTTGGCGTTCCTTCGTCTGCGATGCGCACGCTACACCCCGCGTTCAGCCAGGCCGGGGGGCGCGTGCAAGCAAGCGTTTGCAACTCAAGCAGCAAAACCACAAGACTAGCGAATACCCAAAGTAGACCCTCAATCCTTCCCAGGGTTTTTTGTCCTTTCCACTCAATCAAAGTGACTTGCATGTATTTTTCCTGACTTGAGCGTCTCTCGTCGCACGTGCTTCCGGTCCGGCCTCAATGTCCCAGGGAATGGGCCCATCTCCGAGCCGCTTCAGCACCCAGCCTGGAACTTGACATCCGTAGAGAGATGCGTCGAGGTTAGAAGTCAGTTTAGGGCAGTGGATCCGACGTGTGCCCTGCAGTAGGGTCGCATGAAAGGGGCTGGGACACGCCTTTTAGGGGGTCGGCCAGAAATTGTTAACCTCGAGTGCTGTGCTTGTTTGAGAGATGCCGAAGAGCCTTGCGGCGAACCGTCGCTGCAGAAATTTGGGGGGATCGCCACGGGGACGTCTCCTCAGCGTATGCCGTTCGTTATCAGAGACATCGATGATTCCACAGCAATACTCGTGTCACGTAAGAACAATCGAAGCTTGCTTTAGACATAGCAGCATAGTGATTTATTCCAGGTAGAAAGTTAAGCATGCTCCGAATTCTCAATGTTTGGTACCATGGCGGCAGTGCCTCTGTCAGATGAGCGGCGTACGTGGAACGGCAGGCGCCCCCGCCGGAACTTGATGTGCCTATACGCAATTCCATACCTGTGCACTGTTCACGATGCAAGCCCAGCTGAGGTTTCAGATTTGACCAACAGCCTTGATACTTGCGAATACAGAGGCTACAGGGCAACACAGGCACCTCTAAGAAGAACTGTCTGTCAGTCACCCTTGTGACTTGCGAAGGTCTTAGGTGCCGTTGATTCACAAAAAACCACACAAAAGTTATCCCGCAGGACTTCTAGATGGACCCCGCCAAGCTTCGTTTGCATGTCCTCCGTGTCTTCCTGGTAATCGACGATGCCTCAGGCCATGCGCACCCTATGCTCTTGGCGGTTTCTGTCACTCCTAATTTCGCAATCCGTCGTCAAGCAGGCGCATACAAGTGTAGCCGGCACTAAGGCTAAGAGAGTCAGAGAGGCAATTGAGCCAAGCCTAGTACATCCGATTCACCTCCATCGAAAAGTCCGAGCTGCTGAAAGTCAGGCTGTTGAGGCCGTCAGTCTTCCAGCGGTCGCCCCCAGCCATAATCTCCTGGTGGCATTGACGAGCAGCACTACGCAACATGAAGCCTCTCAGCCGCGAACACATGTTGGATTCGCTCCATCAGAGCGTAGTGGGAAGGGTTTGGGGGTTTGTGACTGCAGTCACATGCGCCAGTCCCAAAGGGTCCTTGAGCTGTTCGATGTTGCGTGCGTAGGCGCGATCTGGCCGGCATTTGAGACACACTCAGGGCGGCGTATGGGCGCCCATATGCGAGCTTCCAATGCTTTGCAGAGGTCTCGGCTCGAAGACAATTTACAAATTAAACGGACAAGTGCAAAATACTGCTGCTTTAGTCGCAGGAAACTGTTTTAAGTTTTAAAGGCTTTCGATGTGACCTTCAGCCTTCTGAAATTTTGAAACACAGCCTAACGGAGGCCTAACAAGCATCCAAGTGTTCATTCCTCGGCACAGCACAGTGCAGACCTGTTTTGTCTTGCTCATGGCCGACATTGGCCGACCCTCTGCTGCGTCGTACATTTGCAGCAGTCGTGTAAAACCAGTCGGCCCCAAACATCTTGGGTTAAAGCTGCGTGTGTTGCACACGTGCTGGAAGTTCCAAAGACTAAGTCCAGAGTTGGCAGAAGATGCATACTTCGGAAAAAACTCTTGCTACATGCTGCGGTCCGGAATGCACAAAGACATTGCATGAAAAAGACAACAAGTCAAGAGCAAAGTTGCATTCGGAACTGACCGCTTTAGCTGGATCAAGTTGGGCCAGAAGGCGGTCAGTGATGCGCTTGGTGTGGTTGGCACTGTGCATGAACTTTCCGCTGAAGCGGCCGAAGCCTGGCGATGCAGGTGGTACGCACACAAAAAAATTTCAAGGGTCAGTCATTGCAAAGCACACAGCCCCGCACATGGTTGGGTACATTGACGTTAGGTGTGCCAGCTGTGATGGTCATTCGACGGATCTTCTACGGGTCCAGCCAGCTCTCGCGGAACACGGGAGCTGTCACATCCTTTTATTTAAAGCTACCTCCCTCCACAATTGGCTGTGCACACTGCAGGACTGCGAGCATCGCCCTCCAACCCTTTTAATCTGTCTGCGGCCTTTCTTCGGGCGGTGGATTGACTGGCCCGGCTTGCCAACATTCGGATCATTCTTCTTGCAGTAAGGGTAACCTTGCTGCATGCACTCAATGCTTTTGGTTTTGCATTTGTCAGCGCTCGATGTTCACAAAACCTTTCATCCAGCACAGAGCGTGACACCAAGACTGACTAACGTGCGGCCGAAAGCGCAGTCCCCGTAGAGGAGCCCGCCCAAACGAAGACGGTGATGGAGCTCGTCGTCCTGCCAGACAACTAATTCATGCAGATGCTGCCTGCTAGCGGCTAAGTTCTCGAGGTTGACAGCGATCGCTGCATCCCGCTCCTCACCACCCCAGCCGAAGTAGTTGTTGCCAAACCCGTTGATCTTGCGCCAATGCTTCAAGCCTGAGTTTAGGGGTAACCATGGGTAACCTATGCAGCTATGCAGCAAATGCATGCTGCCATTCGGGATAGTTGGGCTGAGAAACTGATGGTCTCAGTCTCAGTTCAAGGTTCTGAATTCGAGTTTTTAACTCACCGAACAAACAACAGTTGCCTTTAGTGAAACAGTCATGCTTAAACCGTGCGCACCGGCATGTTTAACCTTAAGCCTTACATTCCTGATGCTGGTGCTGAGTACTTTCATGTGTCTTGCAAAATGCAGGCGGCAGGCTCATACCAACAATGCCACCCGCGCTGGTGAGATACGGGGTCTTCCACTTGTAGCGGTCCTGGTCGGACACAGTATCTACAGAACAGAAAGAGCATGTTACAGGTAGCCGCGAATTCAAAGGGTGGCTTTAGTGGACACTATGTATCATGTTCAGCTCATCCAGGTCGTTCTGAACTTGGGAGAGGAACGAAGCTGATCTTAGATGTACGGTTTGGGCGATTGTGGGTGGGTGGGTAAGCTGACGGTTGCAAAAGCATCGAAGCCCATACACATATAAACCAACCCGAATGATCACGCATGTTGAAAAGACCAAAGGATGGTACGAGCGTCGATCTCGGCAGAAAGCTGTGTGGGAACATCGCATTCCGAGTAGTCCACACCTTTCTCCGGGAGGTAGTCAATGTCCTGAAGCCACGGATTTGGGCCGATTCGGGGCTCTGGGTGGAAGCCGAATTGATGTTTGCACATTGCTTTTTTCCAAGCCATTAAGCTTGTTTTGCAAGGGATACTCGGCGGGATTGGAACTCCAAGGCGCTCTGGGGTTTATCTCTACGACGTTATTTTGAGGCAACAGGGCGTGGGCCGTGTCATCAACAGCAGCAAAAACAAGGTTCAGCCGCAAACTGAACCTTCAACCCTAAACCCAACGCTTAGGGTTCATTAGGGCTTAGGATTACCAGCAGCAGCAGAAGCAGCAACAGCAACACCAGCAGCAGCAGCAGCAGCAGCAGCAGCAGGAGCACGAGGAGCAGCAGGAGCAGCAGGAACAGCAGGAGCACGAGGAGCCCTAGGGAGCAGTAGGAGCAGGAGGAGCAGGAGGAGGAGGAGCAGTAGCAGCAAAAACAACAAACACCAGCAGCAGAGCCACAGCCAAAGCCACCAATATGTCATCGCCACCACGACCACAACCCACAACCGTAACACTAACACCAACGCGAACCCCAACCCTATACCAGACTGCTAAAAGTTAATGCCAACGCGAAACACTGCGACTCAGACTAGATTGAGATTGAGACTAATTGGACTAGCCTGCTGAAAGCCCGGCCTGAATGACGGGCACAATCGAAATCAAAGCCAATCCTCAAATTGGTGGGTGGGTGGATGTATACACAGGCTTGCATCTGCTACAAAATCGCTTGACCGGGTGGAGTTGCATGCTCACCCCTGTTGGCCATGGCTGAGAGCCTGAGAAGTCGATGAACCACATGGCTGCAAAATTTCATGGAAAACTCTACTCTACTACGTAATAGAGCACACGAGTCCGTGACAGTCAAGGTGCTGAAGTTTGTTCCAAGGTCGGCCCAGGATGTCGGCGAAGCTGTCGTTTGGCCGAACGACCGCAAGACCAGCATTGAAGTTCCAGCCACGTTGAAGTTTGCACCTGAGCCGCAAGCCCGGTTAATTGGGGCCCATGCTTCGGTGCATTGGAGAGCAGATCGGCCATGAAAAAGCTTTTTGCAAGGGGCTCGGTTCGGGTCTGGCAGGCTTCAGGAAGCATTTACAAGTCTAACAAAACAATTCCTGCTGTTGTTGACCCGATGGTCAATTGAAGAATTGCCAGCAAATTGGCTTTCGACGTCAAAGCCGGCATCTAGCAACTAATTCGATAAACAATTTCCCAAGGCGCCGGATTGGGCCAACTCTTCTCGCCTGCTTCCGCAGCGCAACTTCACGCGACGCGCTCTCGAGCGACCAGGAGACCATGAGCCGGCGCTAAAGGCAGACATGCGCCCGCACTCCCAAGTAGATGCGAAGAACTCCGTAGCCGCCTTGATTCAAACTTTCCATAAGTTTCTTCGAAGGTCTGCGTTCCGTGTGTTGAGAATGCGTTCCTGTGTAAATGTATGTATTGTACGCCGTAGGCAGGTACAAGTGTATGCCCGTATGTGTGTATGTAGGTAGGCAGGTATGTGTGTGATGTATATGATGTATGTTATGTATGTATGTATGTATGTATGTAGGTATGTGTATGTATGTATGATGTATGTTGTATGTATGTGTGTCACAGGTAGGGGGGCAGGTAGGTAGGTATATAGAAAAGCAAGGTAGGTATTATTTAGGTGCGTATGCATGTATGCATATGAAAGTATATGTGATTCAGGGGTTTGGGGTTGAGGGCTTTCGGGCTTTGCAGAACCGTGCTCGTTTCGGGTTAGGGGTGAGGGTTCAGGTTTTGGGTTTGAGGCTTTTCCGGCTTTTCCGGACTTTGGACGTTGAAAGGTTTCGGCTTCGGGTGGGTGAAAAAGATTCTGGAGATGGAATGGGCATACCCCCCCCCCCCCCACCCCACCCCCCCACCCACAACGCAGTGGGAAACATGGCGGTTAGCATCCTAGTGGTAGGCGGGAAAGGGGTCCACCCACAACTGACTACTACTACTACTACTATACTATACTCTACTAGCTACTACTACTAACGTACTACTACTACTACTACTAATTTACTAATACTTACTACTACTACTACTCACTACTACGACTACTACTCGACTTTACGACTACGACTACTAGCTAAGTACTACTACTCATAATACTACTATTACTACTACTGCTACTACGTTGACTCACTAACTACTAATACTCACTTACACATACTACTACGACTTCGATACGACTACGGACTACGAATTACGGACTACTATCCTACTACTACTTACATACTTCTACTACTACTACTAAACTACTAGCCTTACTGACATTACTCCACCTACTAACACATACTACAATACTACACCACTACAATTACTATTTACTACTATACTTACTATCTTTCCTATAAGACTATTTACTATTAGACTACGAGTACTACTACCACCACTACCACTACTACTCTTAACTAAGGCTCCTCTACTATACTACTTACTACTACTATACTATTAATACTACTACTACTACTACTACTACGACTACTACTACTACTTATACTACTACTACTACTACTACTTACTTACTATACTACTACTACTCACTATACACTACTACTACTACTACTACTATACTACTACTACTACTACTTAGTAACTAGTACTAGTTACTAGTTTATATACTGCTACTGCCTACGCTACTGGTACTACAATGCTACTTTACACTTCTATTACTACTAAACTACTACACTACTAGCTATACTCAAACTACTAATACTCATACTACTTACGACTACTCTACTCAGACTACTAATATCTACTACTACTACTAATACTACTACTACTATGTCGTTTACTACTACTACTACTACTACTACTACTACTACTATACTAACTACTACTACATACTACTTACTGCTATGCTACTGCTACGCTTAACTGCTACTATCTACTACTGCTACTACGACTACTACTATGCTACTGCTACTGCTACTACTACTACGGATCTACTGCTACTACGGAATGTACTACTAATACTACTACTTACTTGCTACTGCTACCGCTACACTCTAATGCTACTGCTACTGCTACTAGCTAATAATGCTGTAATACTACTGTACTGCTACTGCTACTGCTACTGCTACTGCTACTCCTGCTCATGCCTACTGCTACTGCTTCTGCTGCCTGTACTGATGCGCTACGGACTACTACTACTGCTACTACTGTTAACTGCTACCCTACCGCTGCTGCTACTGCTACTGCCTTGCATGCTGCTGCTGCTAATGTGCTGCTGCTGCGCTGCTGCTTGCTGCTTACTTCCTGCTGCTGCTGCTACTCACTGCTGCTGCAACTCACTCAACTCACTCACTCAAACTCACTCAATCACTCACACTCCTCTCTTCTCTCTCTCTCTTCTCTCTCTCTCTCTCTATCTCTCTCTTCTCTCTCTCTCTCTCCTCTCTCTCTCTCTCTACCTCTCTATCTCTCTACTCTCTCTCTCCTCTCATCTCTCTTCTCTCTCTCCTCTCTCTCTCTCTCTCTCTCTCTCTCTCTCTCTCTCTCTCTCTCTCTCTCTCTCTCTCTCTCTCTCTCTCTCTCTCTCTCTCTCTCTCTCCCCCCAGCCTCCACGGTCGTCTGCATCACCTGTTGAGCGTGGGGTTCTTATCCTGTTTTACAAAAAGAGATTTCTTCCCATCTTTCCAACCTACACTACCTGCACCTTCTGAAGCCTGCCCACTATCAACAAATCCCAAGAATTTCCCCTGCTGAGGTGCTGCGTCTTCTTCTTCTTCATCTTCGGCTTTTTGCCCTTGTTTTTCTTTCGCTTTGCCTTGGCTTGTCGACATGTAGAAACCCGGTTTGGGTTTAGGGTTTAGGGTTTCGGGTTTCGGGTTTCGGGCTTCGGGCTTCGGGTTTCGGGCTTCGGGTTTCGGGTTTGCTGTGATCGGGCGTAGATGCTGTGAAGATTAGGTTTCGGAACACGCTCGCAAGCTTCGTGAGGCGCCGAAAAGCAGCTTTGGCCCGATTGTGGAGGGCCATCTAACACTTTTCTCCCACCCCACGCCGTCCAAGGTGGCAAAGCCACCCAAACCTATTCCTTTTTGGGTTTAAGCCTAAACTCAGACAACAGTCCACTTTTCAAAACTTATTCAGTTTCATGATGCTGGCTGAATCCGAGAGTCAAGGGTGCCAGCAAGGTCTCGTAGGCAATCCAGAGGCCCGGGGCCGAGTCAGGGGTTTAGGGTTTAGGGTTTAGGGTTTATGGACCGCGCCACTATTTTCCCCCCGCTTTCCCAGACATTACACACCACCCACACACCACCATCTTTGCGACCGCCGCTCGAGGAATAACGTCCGCGTTTCGTGTGCGTTGCACTCCGCGCGCGCTCCGAGTGCGCTCTGCGCGCGCGGCGCCCGCAAGAGCGACGCCCGCCTCAAAAATTGCACGGCGCCTCGGCAGTTGCGGAGTATAGCACGATTTCTAAGCGCGGAACGTGCGCGGGACCTATGCAAGCGCGTGACGTAAGTTAACACCGTCCGTGAGGCCAGAACTGTGCCGCTTGTGATGTTTGGGACACCTCTGATCTCCGCACGCCTGTGTATAGGCGAGAGCGCGAATCTAAACCAAACGAGCACCGCGACACCGCGAAACTTGCAGTCCCAAGGTGCCGGGCGATTGCTGTCCCCTCCTGCAAAAAACACAAGTGGCCAATGGCCAGCGGAAGACGGACGGCGGCGCGTGGTCTCCCCGCGGCCTCAGGCTGGCCGGGATCTCCGCGATGCCGCCGCCCTCGGGTGAGGGCAGCTGGGCGAAGTCGCCCGTGAAGAGCACGTTGATGCCGCCGAAGGGCCGGGGCCGGTTGGTTTTGGGGTCGATCTTCCACTCGTCCGCCGCGGGCTTGGCGCTTCGGATCCGCTGGTCCATTTGGGCGAGCAGGCGCGCGCTCACCATGCCGATCTCGTCCACAATCAGCCAGCGCCAGAAGGCCATCTGCTTCGTGGTGTCGGGGGCCGGGGGCTTGTCGAGGCTGTAGCAGTCCATGCTGACGCCGCAGGCCTTGTGGATGGTGTGGCCCCGCACGTCCGCGGCGTTCGTGGCCTGGAA